GTCTGCGCGGTAGCCTTGCTGCGCTCCGTACAGTAGCCTCTGCTCCGTACCGTACAGTAGCCTCTGCTCCGTATCGTACAGTAGCCTTGCTCCGTTCAGTAGCGTCCTTTCTTGCTTGACTTGTCGTGGTAGCTAGCTAGATAGCTTGGCTGCCGCTCCTGCACTGCGTCGTGCACTGAGTCTCCTTGTAGTTGATTTTCGTATTAGCACTGGGATATTGTATCTCCAGTCATACGATGGCTGTGTTCCGCAGCACAAAGGTCTTGGTGTTTGCTCACTCCTGTGAGCGTGCTTCCTTGCAAATCGGCTCACTCCTGTGAGCTTGGTCTTGATGATGCTCCGGAGCTCACTCACTCCTGTGAGCTGGATGTTCCTGCTCCGGTAGCTGGTACCGGTTCAGATACTCGTCTTGGCTCTGTACAGTAGCCTCTGCTCCGTACTGTAGCCTTGTTGACTCAATCAGCCGTAACTCACTCTATTCCTGTTGGATTCGCTTCGTTCAAGCATAAGAGTGGTGTAGTTAGTAATGATCTTCAATGCGGTATGTTTGGATTGCGTTGATTTGGTTGTCTTCTGAAGGACCGTTCGCTCCGGTGTAGCCAATGTGGTGAGGCACGATTCTTTCGTGATGTTGCCTTTTTCCTGTTAGGCTGTTGGGATAGCTCTCTCAGTGAGGCTAGAGCCCTTTTTGCCTGAACCGTTTGGTACACCTGGGCTTTACCTTATAGCATAAACTCAATATCATGTAATAGGATGTCGATATCCCATGGTCGAGATCTCGAATTCGAGATGAACTTCTTGGAAATAGTGTTGGTTGCTAGTAACACTCTAGCTTAGTAAAGGTAAAATACTGTTTTACTGTTAAGCTATTTCCAAGAAGTGATCTTTCTCCATGTTTTCTGGGATTGATTCAACTTCAAAGGATATAGTGAAGGGGGTGACCATATAGATCAGTTAAACTCCCCATGTATGTAACTAGAGAATAGATATAGATATCCCCTATCAACTAGATTGGGATAAACGAATAATTTGTATTGAGGTGTCTGTAATACAACCTCCAACACATGGAGGACTGCTGGTGGCAAGTTGGCCATATGTTTGATCGAGTTGCTTTGTTTGTTGATGTTGCCTCAAAGCGTGTTCTGGGTGCTGCTGAAAAAACATGTTTTGGTCTCAGAAAGAAACAAGGTAAGCGAAACTTTGACAGAAAGAAAGAGGAGCCAAGCCAAATTTTCGTCTTTCTGACCTGGTTCTGTGTTTTGGTCATCTTGACTAAATCATGTTTTGGTAATTGGGAATAAAACGCGTAATAGTCATTAAGGTTAAAACAAGTTTTAGTAAATCGGAATAAAACAAGTTTTAGTAAATCGGAATAAAACGTGATTTAGTTAAATTGACGACAACATGTTTTAGTCATTAGGACCAAAACATCAGTTGGGTTTGCAAGCGGGGTGAGATACTCTGTGTTATAATCCTGATGCTTTGGGCGGTCAGTTAGGACGAAAGTACGGTACATTCATAGCGACTACACTTTTCGCACTTCGCATACAGTCAGTCACAAAAGTCTTCAGGATCTTATCCTTGGATGCGAGGGTGTCTATTTCAACATCAGAGGATTCAGTTCGTTGTTGGCTCGCCGTGCCAGAATAATAATGGGGCCTAGTAGAGTTATGGATTATTCGCTATACTAGTATAGTACGGTACGAACGCTGGCGGGGTTGATGCAGAGCTGCAAGAGGCGATAGCCTTCCAAGTCTCCAGACGGGTGGAGTGGCAAGCCGTCGATGTCACATTGTCCGCTCCACAACAACAAAAAAGTCGCGGGCTTGGAGGTGTCACTGGAAAAATGAGTGCTCACAGCTTCGAGAGTTGGAACTACCGCTACCGATTGAACAAATGTCCAGCCACCCAATTCATCATCGTCGCTGATGGCTGAGTCTACCAACAGCGCACACATCAACAGGACTTTGATCGAAGCGGCATCAACGGACTTCGACCGAAGCAGCATCATTCAGTAGGTCGAGTGCTCAGACATGGATACCGGTACAGTAGTGAACACTTCAGACATGGATATTTGAACCACAGAAAGCAGCAAAGCTGGTTTTCCTGAAAAGAGTCAGAAGGGAAAACACCTCTCCAACCTCCACCAACTCACACCAAACTTTGTCTCCTCTGACACTCAATCGTAAAACCCAACCTGAACATGCTGGAATCTTGCGCTTGTTGAGGGCAATGCCAACTGCCAACTGCCAACACATTGGAGAGCTTGACTCACTCATATCGATCCTGTGTCAGTCAACTCCAGCGCAACTTTGGCACCTCTCACCTCCGCACCACATTAGGTCATAATTAAATTTTGGAATTTCCTATTTCGCTCCACGAATCTAAAAAAAGAATTAACAAAATGAAGGTCATCGCACTCTTTTTCGCCACCATTGCTGCTGCCAGCGCCTTTGCTCCTTCTACTACCATTCCATTCCGGGAATCAGCACCATTGTTTGCCCAAGAGGAGGAAGCTGCAGTTACAGCTGTTTCTGCCATGGAGGGACCAAGACCTCAGATCCAGTTTGTCAAGGGTTTGGAAGAAAAGGCGATCCCCAAAGTCAAGTTGACTCGTGCTCGTGATGGAACTTCCGGAATCGCAACATTTTTGTTTGACAATCCAAACGTTTTTGATGCCAGTACAGCTTCACAAGGAGAAATCACGGGTCTGTTTATGTCTGATGAAGAAGGAGAAATCAGTACTACTGATGTCAATGCAAGCTTTTCCAATGGCAAGCCCCAATCAATTGAATCAGTTTATGTGATGACAAGCCCAGAACAGTGGGACCGATTCATGCGATTCATGGAACGATATGGTGAAGCCAATGGTTTGGGACTTAGCAAGGCCTAAGATTCGAATGATTTCAGCCAAGTTTACAGGCGCACAATCAACACATAGTCGACCAGAGCCCATACAAGTTCCTACTCTGGTTCCGTGGGTTTGGAAAACCAAAAAATGGGAAGGACAAGATTGGTAGGGTTGGTCAATGTGCCAATTAGATTGGGCATTTGTGTGGATGTCGATGTTTCCTGTACTGGTACGACTGCGAAATGCTTCTAAACTAGATATATCCATTATGGACACAAGTTGAACAGTAGTCTTTGTTTCGCTGCCTTATACTTCGATGCCTCTTTTTCGAGAGAAACAGGAGCACACAGAACGCGAAAACAGTTGAGGTCTTGTCACAAGGGATTTTGTGACGCGGCACCCTGGACTGAGCAAATGGACAATGCGCCCCAATGACAATAAGATGGTCATGAACAGCAAGTATTGGCTATGGACGAGGAATCCTACACAGCGTAGTTGTGGCTGTGATGGGGGTCTAAAAGACACCAACAAGGGGACGCGCACATTGGTAACGGAGTAACGGAGTAATGAATGGAATAGATCCAGTGAAGGGGGAGCTTGCTTGGATTTCCTTTCTACGCACTTTGGATACCGGTAGCTTGAAACATAGATTGGACCCATTTGTATGACGATGTGTAGAAACAGGAAGTGGTTACAACAGCAACTGAGCTACCGAACTACTCTAAGGCTCCCCCAAGGCCCAAGTGACAACTCGAATTCATCTGACTTGTAGTCCCGCCCACATCGCTCCCAGCATTCATGCAAAGTCACTCCACAGTTTCATTCTCTCGGTTCTCATGCAGTGGCCGATATTAGGCTGGGCGAAGACGCCGTACCGGTATACATGTGCATCCAAATGTTTAGATCAGCACGATGGAGGACAGCTGCAAAATTTTGGGACCTTCAGGTTCCTGATGAGGTTTGATGCGCACTCGTATTTCAAAGGTGCCATCCTTTCGTGGAGGGAAGATGACATTACTCCCCATTGTTCTTGGCTGACTGTGGCGCAACACAGCACATTCCCCACCAAGGAAAGGAATCATGGAAATCCCCTTGGATACATCATTGACATGCCATTGCAAGTAATCATTCCAATGTTCTTTCCCAATTTCATCACCGTAACATGCCTTGGTTTGTCGTTTACATTGCAGTGGACATGCAAGAATAATGCCACGTAGTTGATGAAAGCGCTGTTCTTGATGCCCCCCATCATTGCCTCCAGCAGTATTGTCGATTGCAAGATATTCCTCCCGTTCGGCTTGGGAAGGCAACACTGCATATCGCCATTGATCCGTGGCGTACATGTAATCAGAAAAGTCTCGATTTGTAATGTCACTGGTGCAAGAACGCTGGGATCTTCGTGCCAATGCATCGTACCCCAACTCCAATGGAAGGGCATCATTGGAATCAACATCCTGTCTTCTGGCTGTGGTGCTTCCAAAAGTTGCCACGATCACTTCATGTTCCAGTCCTTCTTCGGGAGCGACGGCAACACTGCTGCTGTTGTGATGGTTCTTGAAGTAAATGGACGGGAATGGATATCCCGTCGAGATTCCCTTGTAGCGCTGTTGCGATGGAAGCCGCATGGTCCGACAAATGTTCCTGGAGTGATAAAACCAAAGAATGACATCTTTCGTTTTGACTTTTCTATTGTTGCCTTCCAAATTCAATTGTTGGTCTAAGGGGATCCCTTTGAAGTTGAGTAGGGGTTGAGAGCTGGCACTGTCCTTGACCATGTTCCGATTCTGCTCATGCCACTTCCGGTCAAGTTGCTGCAACAACAGCTGCAGCACAGACGACTCGCTACCGCGGTTCATCGTTGCTTTCATCTCATTCTGCAATTCGTAGATTGCTTCGTCCATGGCATCTGCCAGGAACAATGCGAGCAAGTGCCCCCACAATGCCAATCGTTTGTATCCTGGATGCCAATCCATCATCCAGTACCTGTCGGGACAGATTTGTCGATTGAATTTGTAATCTTTGCAAAAGACATTGCGTTCCAAGGATTGCCCGCATCGCAGAAATTGTAAGAGGGGCGGTAAGGGCGACACATTGCCGTCAACTTGAAGGCTGTCGGGAACGGCAGCTTCGACCTGACCCACAACGGTGGCATTCCCAACCATCAATGGCAAGTGAGGGTGGTTGGCATAGAGCTCGGCAATGACCGGTTTGTATCTGTCACCAACACTGTGATGCACCAAAACAATGGGAGGACTCTTGCGACTGATGGCCCGAGCTATCCAGTAGGGCAACTGAAACACTTTGCCATTATCCGTCAGGGCATAATCCCACAAGACGACATCGACGTCGGTTCCCAGAATGGCTTCTTGACAGAGTGCCATTTCTGGAGCCGACGGTTTGCCCGACATGCCATACGATCTCGTTTCGAGTTGGACCCCCAATGCTGAAAAGAGTGGAGCCACAACACGGTCCATGACAGCTCCATACGAATCCCTTTCAAAGTTCCCATGCCCCGCCGAAGAGGAATGACCGGCAATCGCAAAAACAAACTTGACAAGCTCTGATGCAGTAGAATTGTTGTTTGGATCTTTCGTCTTTTTGTTGGACCGTTGCTGATCGTTTAGTTGTGCCGTAAGAACCTTTTGTTTGAGTCGATCCTTCAGGCTGTTCCAACCAACCAACCCTGTTGGGTTTTCCGGGTTGAAAAAGGAAAGTTTTCCTCGGATTTTCCGTAAAGTGCTTGCATTCGTGGTGTTGTTGATGCCGTTGGAAGCGTTAGCATCGAAGAAAAGGTTTTGAAAGTAGTTGCCATAGTCTACCATTTGTCGCTTTTCCATTTGGACTCTCTCCTCCAAGAACAATTCCATCCGCGTCAAAAGATCCGATGCACTCTGGTTGCCATTGCTGCTGTCGCTGTTGGTCTTCTGTTCTTCGAAAAAGCCAAGAGTGTGGAAGATCTGCTGGACATCCACCAACAGAAATCCTACACAAAGTACTAACGCCACAACAACATGCCACAGCCGGGCTGGAATGGCAACATTGCATGCATATTGAACGGGAGGTTGTTGTTGTGCGGCCATGCCGAGTTGTTGAGTGACAGTCCGAAGCGGTGAAAGCCGAAAGTGTGAGAGAAAAATGCCAACGTCCGGCGAATGAAAGAAAGAAAATGACGGCCCGTGATTCAACACACTCCTGGCCTCCATCCCTAAAATTGGATGGAGGGGCATGCCGGTACCGGTAGCCGTACCGGTATCCCATGCTCTTGTCACGGAATTTCTTGAAGGCTGCTCCCTGTAATGGCTTCGACATAAAATCACCTATTATTTTGTCGCTAGGCAATACTCCACCACAAGATTACCCTGATTGATCTGGTCGGTAAGGAAAAAACAACGAATACTCAACGCTCGCATATGACTTTTAGAGCTCTCCTTTCCGTTGTTTGCCAATTGGATCTTCGACTTGTTGTCTTGTTTGAGAACGACATCCATGTGGTACCCCTGAGAATCCATAAACAAACGTGTCCACAACAGTGCTTTGGTCGCTGTTGTGTGAGCAAACCGCCCTGAGAATATCCACGCTGTGCGATTCTCTTCCACGATCAAGACGAGAGATGCTCGCGCGAAAGATTCCCTTCCGCTCCATTCGATGGCTACCTCCAACAATGACACTCAGCAAAGGAGGGACAGTCTCCTTCAGTATCATGACAATACGCTCATCCAGGATGAGCTCCACCACCATGCGTAGATTGACTCTCTTGTTATCATGGCTGCTAATCAGTCTCCCATTAGCTTCCAGCGAGATTCGAGATTTCCGAGTGACTTTGGAGCCGACTCGACTGTTGTGCACTTCTCGGAAGGCTTCTTGGTGGCTCCAGGGTACATTGACTTGGAGAACTAAAGTTCTCCACGATGGACGAAGGGTCTTATCCCGAGGATTTTGACTTTGGCGACACAGATGACAAGGCGGATCCTTCGGAGATGATGATACGGTGGGGGTAGATGATGATACCAAAGATACTAGTACCCCTGCGGAGGATACAGCCGGTGCTACTACGGGTAGCAACGAAGATAACAACAATAATTCCACGGACGGAGGTGGACGACGACAACTAGCCGAACCTGCCATTACCATGCTGGATATTGCCGTCATGCATTTGCCAGGCTCTTGTGCCAATACTCGATCTGGTTGCGATTGGACGGATTTTGGAATTGGCTCGAAATCGGCCGATGGGGATGTCCGATGGTGCTGCTCCCAAGATGCCGTGGAGCTGGGTCTCTGTGATGGAGGAGACAAGTATGGTCGTTTGATTGTCAACAACACGCAGTTTACCGGATCCCATCGCTTTGTGGAAATTCCACCCACGGGACAAATTTCCGATGAGATTCGATATGGGAAGATTGAAGAACCCAATGACTCGGGACGCTATGTCGTCATTTTTGCTAATTGCAACGACGAAGGAAGAGAAGTCCTCGTGACGGGAGCCACCGTGTGGAAGTCTAAACATGGATATCTGCCGGGAGAATTGTACGAATTCATGTACTTTTACATTATTGTCACCTTGATCTATTTTGGACTCATGGCGGCATTTGCTCTGAGCATGAATGCTTATGCCGCCTCGAGGATTCCACTCGAAAAATGGATTCTCGGCACCATCATTATGGGATTGCTGGAAACCTTCTTCCGGACCGGATCATTTTTTGTCTGGAATGAAGATGGAACCAATCTCATGATTGCCGTGTACATTGGTAAGTCATTTGCATTATTATATACGTATCAAAGGGCGATTAATCGCTTGATGATGTCTCGCTGGAGTGTTCAAAATTCATTCTTCTTTTTCTTTGCGCTCGTAACCGCCCCTCTTCAGGCGTCTTTATGGGAGTGCTCAAATGTGGTATTTCCAGGTGTCTGATCGTCATGGTCAGTTTGGGATGGGGCGTCGTGCGAGATACCCTCGGTCCCACGCTGCCGAAAATTGTGGCGCTGGGCATCTTTTACGTGGGAACGTCGTCTGTCACTGAATTCATGACTGTCATTGCTGTCGAGGATGTCCAGACATTGAGCTTGGAGGAAGAGGATGAACTGTTTGATGTGGTCGAGATCCTCTCCTTCGTCGTCTTTGTCGTGGATGTCATTTTTGTCTTGTGGATTTTGGACGCCCTCAATTCCACGATGGAATACCTGGAAAGCATGAACCAGACTCGAAAATTGATGCGATACTTGCGATTTCGGTGCATCTTTCTCTTTGCCATTCTTTTCTCGGTCGTGTGGGTTGTCTTTGATCTTGTCGATTCCTATGACGAAGACGGTATCCTGGAGGAGCAGCATGAATGGATTGTCCTTGCTGCCAAGGAACTCAATTATCTATTCCTTCTGATTGGAATCGCCGTTCTCTGGTGGCCCAACCCAACCGCACGAGAATACGCCTATGTTATGGAGCTTCCTTCCTTGGCTGAAGGGGACGGGGAAAACGAATTGGAACTCACGGGAGTTGTGCCCTCTGCTCTCGATGAGTACGATGACCATGGAATGAATGGCAATGGATTACACAGCGACTTTGACAAAGAGTTCAAGTAAAAGAGATGCAAACTACACTACCCGGTCGCAGGCAATTTAGAACAGAGTGTGGCAGCACCATGAACCAGCACAAGTGACTACTACATCAACTTGAATAATATCACCAAAACAACATGCAATCTAAAATGATTCGGACTACTACTATGTCGATGCGTTTCCTCTGTAGTAGAAAGCTTCCTGGCTACGTATCCGCAGAGAAGGACTTGACACGTGTGTATGTAGTCGAATCAGAATCGAAAAGCAGTAGACCTCAAAAAGGATCTCGAGGGCATCGTAGAGATGTTGCCGCACTGTCCAAGCTCGCGATGACACTTCGTCTCTCATCAACAGACTCCAGGATAGGTGGTCGCAGCAAACCAGCCATGCAGCTAGGCACGTTCTCCACGGATGCGGCGGGCAAGCTGCATGTCTTTCGGCATGATAGTCACGCGCTACGTAAAGGAAGCAGATGTAGACAGAGAGGCAGCCAGACAGTGAGATACGCGCATCTTTCCTGCAGTCCTGGCAAAACATTGGAACCATCTTTTGTTGCTTGCTTACCTTGGCGTGAATCGCGCAAAGATTGGTGTCTTCGAAAAGTCCAATCAGATAGGCCTCGCTGGCCTCCTGCGTGCGAAAGAACGGTTTGGGCAGAAGCAAGCAGTGAGATGCGGTTGCGTCCAAAAGCGATTGTACGAGTCCTCCTCGCTCCAAGCCGACGATCGAGACGGTTTTTACCTGGAGGGCCAGAACGGCAGTTGACTGGAATCGAAGATCCTCCTTGAATGTCTTTGCAATCTGTCGGACTAGACGCTGAAACGGAGCCTGTTGGAGAAGGAACGTGAACAGGCGTTGTTATCACGACTGCACCAGACCACAAAAATGATCGACTCGACGACTTCCGCGACTCTACCTTTCGAATCAACAAGTCTGTAGACTTCTGGTACTTGCGAATTTCTAGCAGTGCTCTGGTTCCAGGACGGTAGCGATAGGGCTTTCTCACGCCTCCAGCGGTCGGAGCAGATTTGCGAGCAGCCTGTGGTGGAGTGACGCGTACCGGTATCGTCATCATGGTGAGCGATTGACACAGAGGCGAGGAGAACAACAGAGGAACCACACGCCCTTGAGGCTGCTTTCGTGACATCTTCTTCGTACCTTTGTGGCAAGCTTTCAACAAGAGAGATGGCGATTCAGTCGAAGTGTGAGAAAAGCACATTGTCGGTGCACACGAAGAGCTTTCATTCGGAGGAGCAACCGCACAAAAGACGAGCGCACCGCTTTCGCTCCAAGACCCACTCACCATCTTTCGAGGCACTTTGTAGCCAATGTTTCGTCGTACTGTCTGCTTCACTCGGGCCATTGTGTTGCTTCCTGTCCTTGAAAAAGAGTTCTCGGGCGGTGAATTGACGAATGGTGTGAAGAAAATGAGCCAAACGCTTTGGTGAGACTTCTCGGTGCAGGCAGCGAAAATAGTTGAAAAAATGTATTTGAAAAAAAGAGGAATGTTTTAGGCTTCTCTAACTTAGCTAGTCACAATCACAAACTCTAGTCACTCGATTAGTCGCATAGAGAAGAGCGCACACTTGTTCTTCACTCTTCATGCTCAAAGAACCAAAAAAGCTCCTCGCTCTCTTATCTTGCTACGAATTGCTCCAGTAAGGTCACGAAACCTGAATAAAAACTTAGTTTCACCGTTTTCTTAGTTTCACCGTTTCTTAGTTTCACGGAAATTCCCGATTTCCGTGAAACTAACTCATTATGTTGAAACTAACTCAAAAACGGTGAAACTAACTCAAAAACGGTGAAACTAACTCAGAAACGGTGAAACTAACTCAAAAACGGTGAAACTAACTCAAAAGCGTGAAACTAACTAAGTACAATCCTGTCTTAGTAAATCAATGTAAACACGACTGAAACGGTGAAACAAACTCAAAATGGTGAAACTACCACAAAAGCGTGAAACTACCCCAAAAGCGTGAAACTATCCCAAAAAGCGTGAAACTAACCCAAAAAGCGTGAAACTAACCCAAAAGCGTGAAACTAACAAAAGAGTGAAACTAACAAAAGGGTGAAACTAACACCTTTTAAGTCCCGTTTCGGGACCTTGCTGCCAGAGGTGGAGCCGTACATACCAGCTCTCGCTAGCTAGATAGCTAGTATTTTCAGTATCATAGTATTGCTACAACAACAGCCATCAGATATGAACTATCATATTTGCTACCTAGCTAGCTAGCGTTGTGTGAAATAGAGAGCATGAAGTTGTTGCGTGGATGGAGGCACAGTATGAAAGTTTTATTTGAACTACATACATGTATGTCGTCTATTACTCTAGTAGCTACAGACTAGTAGACAGTCCATGTTGCTACTACCGCAGCTAGCCAGTAGCATTAGAATTGGTCTTGGATGGCTAAATGGTAGCTGTGGTTGCCAACGAGTACTAGTAGTTCTATGTAGAGATGTACCCAGAGGCCACCACGCAAGTATGCCGTATCAGCACTCGTACAAGGTAGTCTGGCTACCGGTACAGCCGGTATCTGGTATGGCAATACTAGCTAGTAGGTATCTGATATGGTAGCCAGTAGCAAAAGTGTCATCAACCTTCAAGACCCAAGCAACATCTGGATATCTGGATCGAATTTCACGAGGTCTCTGATGGCTGGCTTCCGTGTCGAGTGACGCTCTCTTGGATACCGGTATTGCCAACAACGAGCACCGGTTGGAGGAGACGCGACGCAACATCAATCAATCAATCAATCCTGGCGAAGGTCATGGATCGGAAAGGTAAGTAGAGCGAACAGCTTGGAAGTGCGCTGGGCCGGCTCAGAATTTTCAATGCATTCGACGCTCAAAGAACCTAGCATCACGAAGCCAGACAAGAGGCACGGAACAGCTTGGGTGCAAGTACCAGTACAAGTACTAGCTAGCGTACCATTGGTGGCCTGTCATACTCGGAGTAAGGATTGCTTCTTCAAGACTTTGGTGGAGTTTTGGCAGGCGACTATGAGACAGAGAGGATGAATCGAATCGAATCGCCCTATTTAGTTAGAGCGCAGGCCGCAATCGAGAAGGGTCATGGATTAAAGCGTCTTTGCTACTGAAACTTGAGTCAACATTATGCGGGCTATAATCAATGGTAACCTATACACGTGTCTACTAGCCCTAGCAAAGGATAAGGCGTGCATATTCCGTGTCAAATAGTATCTATTTGCTTGATAAACAAACTGGCGGAGCCAATCTTCACACCTCCAGCAACGCAACCAGCATTCCGGTTGGTCTCCTCCTGGCAACAGGCAAAAAGTCGCCAAACGACACATGGATGCAAAGTCACCGTCAACGTTCGCACCAGTACAAGTCAGCAGTTAGCAGTTGGGCCTCTCTCTGCGCTGCGCACGTTCAAATCAAAAGAACTGGGTTTGCCCGCGGACTGGGAGCTTCTTCTCTGTCTACGGGGAATTCAGTACTGTCACCTACGCAAACAATCCAACAAGATTGGATGGAATAAACGCAGCAACTGTCGCCGTGAAGTCGATTCCTTGCTCCAGCAATCACACAACCTTCAAAAACACCAGTTTTCATCAACACCAGCAACAACCACTTCAAAACAAAAAAATAACAACAAAAAGTATCGACCATGGCCCGTACAAAGCAAACTGCCCGTAAATCAACAGGTAAGCAACACATTGCGTCGAACCACAATGATGGGTGGCGGCGCGTTGGAGCGACGACAGCAGCGAGCAGCGGCGGTGGTCGCCATTGTCGCTCTTCGAGGTCTCTTTTCGCCGGGTTATCGATGTCACACACTACGATCATGAGCTAACGAATTCTCCTCTCCGTTCCTCTCTTCTCAGGTGGCAAAGCCCCTCGTAAGCAGGTAAGCATCACAGGGCATGACTAGAAGCGCGGTTGCTGGGAGCGGCGGCGACGCAACAGCGAACGCCATTGTCGCTTCTCTTTCTTCGCGGCAACATGTTTGTAACAACATTTCTCGACCATGGCGCTCACCCGTCCTCTTCGCCGCTCAACTCTCCACTCCTTCGCCTCTCATCTACTCTCAAACAGCTCGCAACCAAGGTAAGTTCGCCATTGTCGCTTGGTCGCTGGTTGACTTCCGGTCACAGCGTCGCTCGAAGCATCCGAAAACAGTCCCTTTCGTGACATAGACGGGACAGTGTTGCGTGTCTCGACTATTGTCTCACTGCTACGCTCTTTCTGTCTTTGGTCTAGGCTGCCCGCAAGTCCGCTCCCACTGCGGGAGGAGTCAAGAAGCCCCACCGATACCGCCCTGGAACTGTTGCCCTTCGTGAGATCCGAAAGTATCAAAAGTCGACTGATTTGTTGATCCGCAAGGCTCCCTTCCAACGTCTTGTCCGTGAGATTGCCCAAGATTTCAAGAGTGATCTTCGATTCCAGTCCACCGCCGTTCTTGCCCTACAGGAAGCTTCCGAAGCCTACTTGGTTGGACTCTTTGAAGATACCAACCTTTGTGCTATTCACGCCAAGCGCGTGACAATCATGCCCAAGGATATCCAATTGGCTCGCCGCATCCGTGGAGAACGTGCTTAAGCGTGAGACGAAGGAAGCACTGAAGCTTTCTTGAATGAAATTGGGCCTGGACTCTTTGGACTGAAAATGCCAGAGGGTTGGCCGTCGAAAAGACTTATGAAAATCTATGTTTCCTCTAGTTTGGCATGTAGGGTTGTGGAAATGATTCGATTCCGCTGCTTTTGAGTTGGGACAACCTGCCTGGGGACAAAACAAAATTCGAAATAGGTGGTAATGCGATGCATTAGTTCCTTGTTTATTATGACTACTGCCTGCTTTATCGTTCTACTAGCTACTAGTAGTGCCGGTAGCTCGTTTGTGTCGTATTCACCGGCGAATCCTTTTGCGTCCAGCCGAGAGAAACACCACTACTGCGCACGTGGCGGGGAATGCCGGTAGTCATTGTTGCGTTTTGAAGCAGTGCATCGACAACAAACACAGAGGCTGCTAGTCTGTTGGGCACCGTGTCGCTACCACGTACCAGGTTGTTAACTTAGGAATTACGAAGTCCCCGGAGGGATTTTAGTTCTACGTATCAGGTACGTACGGTGGTTCACAAGACACTGCAGTTGTGTTGTCGTCTTCTATCTACGTGCACCTCGTACATTTCTTTTGTTCGTTTAATTACAGCTTACATGTACTAGTTAGTATGCCAGCCCACTCTAGGCTGAGCGTTTGAAGACCTTTGTGATGGGGGAAACGGCCTTCTTGATGCTCCATTTCTTCGTCTTTGTTTCTCCCATTGGTTCCTTCTGTTCCTTTTCCATGCTCCCACCCATATCAACATTAGGCCACTGGCGGAAGCGGTAGTAGTGGTTGCAATATCCAGAGGGATTCTTTTCAAGGTATTGCTGGTGGGCTTCATGTGCAGGGTGGAACTCTGTATAGGACAAGATGCCTGTCTCAACTACACCCCTCTGGTAAGAACTGATATCCCCGTTTGAGACTGCCTGCTGCAGCTCTGCTTTGACTTTCAAAGCAATGGCTTTCTGCTGGTCATCAGAGCAAAAGATGGCAGAAGCGTACTGGGTGCCCACATCACCCCCCTGGCGATTCTTGGTGGTTGGATCATGGAACATGAAGAAAAAGCGAATCAACTCTTCCATCAAGGAGGCATCTTCCAGAGTGACATCCAATACCTCCACATATCCAGACACTCCACTGCAAACTTCACGGTATGTGGGAGGAGACTTGCGCTTCATGGGAGTAGGGTTCATAAAACCGACTTGGGCAGACTGAATGCTGTTAGGGAATCGCTTCTGGAAATCCCGGACGATGAACTTCTCTGTTCCCCAGTAGCATCCTGCTGCCAGGGAAAGCTTGGTTGACATGTTGGTGGATGTTGGCTGGACTGACATGATAGTTGTGTGATTGAAAGTTGTGTGTTTTGTTTTGGCTTTTTTTGGTTTGGCTTTTGTTTTTGTGAGGAGGGGTGGGTGAAGAGACGAGAGATCGATGCAGTGGAGCATGACTACGACTGAAAGCTGCTCGAGACTCAGGACCAGTGCCACGACAGAGTTCCTTCACAAGAACTTTTTTAGTCGCACTCTGCGGCGCCGTATTCTACATCATTCACTTCCTGTCTTCTCGTGGGGTGCGAGAGGATGAAGTTGCCAGAGAAGGAAAGCCAAGTAGAGACAGAGGGCCAAGCTTTGGGACTCAAAGTTGGAACTCCGTTGGGGTTCTGTTCGATATTGGGCGCGAATGAGGGACCAATCATGGGGAATGCCAGTACGTGTTCGATACAAGGAAGACCTTGATAACGAAATCGCTTGAGATTATGAGAGCAGTGTGTCTTGCAGACACTATAGCTGGCTGGCCAGGCGTTGCATGAAAGCTATGATTCTACAGACGAAAGTAACAATCAGGGATATGAAGTGATGCTTGCACTTCAGCTTGATCATGGTCTCAATACGATTTTGAATCCAAGAAACCACGCCAGACAAAAGTTGAAGCACAACTATCCCTGACGAACCATATCAAGCGGTCAGCAACGGAAAAGCAAATAAATCCTCGATAGTGCAAGCATAAGAAAACATCAAGTAACCATGCTCTTTAAATATGATTACCAGTGCTACCGGTAGGGTACTGTAGATTATCGTGCTTACTTCAAATCTAGAAGTAGATCTGCATAGCAGGTCCCATGGTACTCTTGATGTAGATCTGTCCAATGTTCTGCCACTGCTTCTTCAAGAGAGAAGCCAAGAAATTCGAAGCAAGCTGGGCGTTGGCACTGATCTGCTTGGCATCCATTGTCACGTTGCCGACAGCAACGTTCAAACACATGACCTTCTTCATCTGGAACTTGATGGTGGACTTGACCTCGTCAATCTTTTCCTGCATATCATCTCCACTGGCAAGCAAGGTGGGGAACTTTCCGGCCTTGGTCAAACCGGGTCCAAGGAGACGAGGAATCTGCTTGATCATGTTGTCGGATGCCAAGAAGAAATCATAACGCTTGGCCAGCTTCTTGACAAGCTTCTTGTTTTTGTTCAACTTCTTCAAATCCTCCACACTCATGTGGTCAATACCGATACGGTCGGCTTGTTCACAATGGGCTGCGTTTCCGAGCATGCAGCACTTGAGGTTGGGACGGGGAACGCTGGGGAGCTTGAAAGTTCCAGAGAAACGCTTGTCACGGACGGGATCGTAGTTCTTCAAAGTGATCTGAACTTCGACAGTCTCGGTGAAGTTACGCTTCTTTCCTTTCTTCTCCACTCCACCCATGGTGATATTTTCACCTTTGGAATAGGTGAGGATATCGGCAATAGCCTTCTCCAAAAGAGCTGCGTTAAGCTTGGACATGGTGTCTCCTTATCTGCTTCTTCCGAGTAATGATGGTCGAGGTATTCTCTAAAGAAAGACAAAAACAAGAAAGTTAGGAACCGCAGCAGTGATCCCACAGCGTCCGCGTCCAACCACACCCCTCGTCATGGTCGACCTTACCTTCTCGCAAAGAAGTGGATACAACGTAGTCCGTGTTGGTGGTGGGAGACAAAAGCCATGCACAGTTTTAGTAAGCGGTATTTTGTTTGGCATGACAGCAGGGCTGTAATAACATCCGTGTCTCTCAGTCATGCTTAAAGTGAGTGAGCCGGCAACAACATGCTCACACAAACTGCCGTTGCCTCAAAAATATGCACATGGAAAGGCATGTCGCTGATTGTGTACTCTACTCATTCCTTTCATCCCTCGAGAGAAACCTCACAATTCGATTCGTCCTCGTTTCCTTACCAATACTAGACAACCTCTTTTTATTCCTGCAAAGATGAAGTGCTCCATGGCAATCCAACGTGTCCTGTTTCTTTCATTTTTTATTTCCCTGTTCTGCACACCTGCTCAAGGGGACATTCAGTTGAATCTGTCCGGTGGCGAAGACGACAGCAACCCCCTTGAAGACTTGGCATGCTCCATTTTCAATTGTGCTGATGAATCATCATCAACCTTGGAGGACCTCTTGAATGACATTCTAAATTTTGATTTCAACTTTGATTTGGACCTTACTGGCAATGGTGGTGGTCGCCGAGAACGTAAACTTCGGGGCGAACAACAACAACAACAAAATTGAGAAGGCAAAGCTATAGTGTGAGACAATTCTTGATTTCTTCAAAGTCAAGATGGGCTAGACGGCGCACCAACCAAGATAGGCGCCGAAAGTGAAACCAGGGAGAATTGGCACGAAAGCGGCACGTTAAGGCAACTGTGAAGGCTATCAAATGATCCGGTCCTACATATTGATTAATGTAACTATACTAATAGAAATCTCAAAGACGTATACTTTCTTGTACATCCCACTCGCCATAGTAGCGTATCTCTAGGTCAAACCATCATCTTTGCAGCGCTGTTTTTTAAAAGGCTTTGTGCAGAATTTCATGACGGGGGATTATCAAGTTCCTTTATCAAGAGGGTCGCGATTGGACATGGACTGACCGTACCAGGTACCGTGTTGGCCTCGTTCATTTCGGACGGTTCTTTGCGATCTACCGGTACAGTCGTACCGGTACATGGTACGTGTACCGTACCGTCCAGCCAACATGCATGAGCACGTCGTGCAGCAAACCCATTCAGTTGCGGGACCACAGAGACAGCAACTACCACAGAGCAGCTCCACTGTTTTATCACGCAATGTTGCCGTTGCCTTCAATCAAGAATGCAAGTCAAGAAATCGCTGAAAAGTGCCTCCTTCATCATCCTTCCATTCATCATTCGAGCGAAAATAAGGTCGAACCTCACAACAATCTCTGTATCATACAGTATCAAGACAACCCGAAATCAGCTACCGATAACCAGGATAATCGTCTCTTTGTTGCGGTTGATCTTTAGAAAGAATACTTCTCACACTTTCATCCATCTTCGCAAGATCAAAACAATGAGATCCTTGACAGTCCAAAGATTCCTTCTCATTTTCAGTTTCATTTCACTGTTATTCACACCAATTCAAGGGTTCAATGAATTGAATTTGCTCGAAGGGAGAAATGGCGGCGGAGAAGTTAGCACCAGCCTCTTTGAAGATATAATGTGTGCCTTCAATCCTTCGTTCAGCGAGTTTCGCCATTGCAACTCCAATGGCCTGGGAGACATTATTGTGAATCGATTTTTCAACCCCAATTCCAATGTGGACGAAGATGTGAGTGGCAATGGTGGTCAACGCAAGCTTCGGGGGGCACAATGAGAAAAATGAAGCGCAGTCAGCAAGCACAAAGTTTGAAATTCGTTGATTTTCAAGGCAGAACGGGCTTAGCAATGCCAGAAGAGCAAGCGCCCAAATGCGAACGAAATCGGGAAGGGCAACAGTGAAGGCTCTTAGCTTATCGTAAATATACTGTAACTATAGTATTAGACCTCCAAATCAATGCAGAATGGTGTCCTGTTCTTCTTCGTTCTTGCATTTCCGTGCCATATGACTATGCTGCTGAATGTGAAACCAGTACTGTCCTGTAGATGCAAGAGGAAGTCTCCTTTGTTAATTGCTTCGTTGGGTAGCATTTGTGGGGCGACCATGTTGGCTGTGTTCATTCCCAATGACATCATAGCAAGGGTTTCCCACGGGTTGTAACTGGACGGCTTTCGCGGATTGTTGATATTTGGTCTATTCTGCTCCGCTCCATCTCTTTCTTCTATTGTTGCCTTTTCTATTCATTCTCCCATTGCCGTTTTCCCCTTGGCACAATCTGCCAATGCCGCTTGTCGCAGCAATCCCAAATCAACTGCCCCACAAACCAAAGAGTATCCTTTTTCATCGAACATGTCTTTCAATTCCACTCCCGGTGTTTGAAACCCTCCCAACAAACAGGATGGACTCTGAACAACGGCTTGTTCGGCTTGTGCAATGAGTTGTTGAATATCGGAATCTTGGAATTGTCCCATTTTCCCCGCACTACAAGACAGGTCAAATGGACCCAAAAAGATCAAATCGACTCCCTCCACAGCGGCAATTTCCGGAATGGCATCTACCCCCTGAGGACTTTCAACTTGTACCATGACGAGTAAATCCTCTCGACATTGTCGCAAATACTCGTCATTATTGTGGGTCATGCCATAGCCACTGGCGCGGACAAAGGGTACGGCACAGCCTCGAATGCCACCACCATGATCCGGAAACGATTGCTGTGTGGGATACCGTGTCGACTGGACCACCCGTTCGGCCGTCTTGGCATCTTCCACCATGGGTACCAAGACACCACCGGGCAACCGCATGGAATCCAACACCAATTTCATGCTGGCAGGATCCTGGTTGTCGGCCAATCGCACCAGAGGCGTGGTTCTTGCAGCCGTAAATGCGGCAGCAGCATCCATGGCTTGCAAGAGCCGTTGGGCACTTTGAGGATTGGTCGGGCTGTGCTCCATGTCCACCAGCAAATGATCGTAGCCAACGCCCGCCAATAATTCGGCAATGATGCGAGAATCCGACATGATGAGAGGTCCGTAGCTTCTACCTCCTTGCAGGAGCCGTTGGCGAAGCGAGATCATGGTATCTGGATTGCGTGCTGTGGAAAAACCAAGCGAACCACCAGTCCATCCAAGAAGCAGCAATGACAGCGACAAGAAATGGACTATTGGCATGGGAGAAAGAGGGTGGTATCCTACCGTAATCTATTGACTTCTTGTGCTTTGTGCTTTCTTGCCTGTGGGTACCAATAGCCGTGTCTCAAACGGATCTTTCTCGCGTGGCTTGGCAACGGTATCTTAAAGGTTAATTTATTAAGGTTTTAAAATACTTAGACGCACACTTTTCTATTTTCCACCTTACCGCTTTACTTACTCTCAAAGCCACAAAAGCTCAGCCTCTTCACGCAACGACAGCGCCATCTTCGAAGTGCTCGGAAAGCCCTCTTGTTGTTGCTGTTTCCCCTGTTGCCAATCAACTACCCAGAAGAGACAATTAGACCCGTAACCATGGTTGACTCTACCGTTGTTATCAAGACCCGTAAATTCATCAAGAATCCCCTCCTGGCACGGAGGCAGGTGCGTTTGCTGCTCTGTTTCCGTAGAGACCGTAATCTAGCTAGTATTAGTGGGTATCATGGCAACAAATGGCTCACTCTCGCTTTCTTTCGCTCTTTCTTTCTTTTGCTATCAGATGATTGTGGATGTGATCCACCCTGGCCGTCCCAACGTCCCCAAGAAGGAACTGCAAGAGGTGATTGGAGGCATGTACAAGGGAGATCCCAAGCTCACAATGGTATTTGGTTTCCGAACCAAATTCGGTGGTGGCAAGTCCACGGGCTTTTGCGTCATCTACGACAATGAAGACTCTTGTCGGAAGTTTGAACCCAAGCACCGATTGGTCCGAAATGGATTCCAGACAAAGGTCGAACGATCGCGCAAGGCCATGAAGGAAGCCAAGAACAAGGGACTCAAGGTTCGTGGTACTGGTGCCAGTATTTCCAAGCACAAGGCAAAGCGTGCCGCCAAGAACGAGTAAACAAACCATACCAAAAAGCACAATACAATACAGAATTGCCTGCAACTACCTTCTTATTATCTTTTAGCCACTGTACTGGTAGTAAAAGTAATAACATCCCGCTTCAGCTTCTAATACTCTGTTATAACAATGCATACATAGTGTGGTCCAATCGAAGTTGAGTTATTCACTAAACTCCCAAAGGTCTTCCATTCGCTGACGTCTAGAGCCATCCAACTTTCCCTTCTTGTGTAGGATTATTTGTGAGCGATACCAAAGCCCAAGCTTGACACCATCATCTCTTTCATAGGATCGTGGCACCTGCGTCTCTCCAGTTTCAGCAACATACTCCTTGCATAAATTGAAATTCTGTTCCCACCTCCAATCACGTACATTCCAAATGAAACCAAGCTGTTCCAGTTTCAGCACCTTGCTTGCATCCAGCTTGTCCTTCTTTCTTGCCATCCGCTGTTTGTTCACCCATGCACCCAGCTTCACGCCTCCTTCAGTGTGATTCTGGGGCGCAACAGAGTGACCTTCTCGGGCCTGGAAGGATAGCAACGCTTGGAAGAATGTGTTCCAACTTTCTTCAAGGGCTTCCCAAATGAACCCAATCTGGTCCAGTTTCTCCACCTTCCATTCATCTAGTTTATCCTTGTTTCTTGCTTGCCGCTGCTTGTTAACCCAATTCCCCAACTTCAACTCTCCTTCTACATGCCTCGAGGGTACATCACAGTGACCTTCACGAGCTTGGAAGGAAAGCAATGCTTGGAAGAATGTGTTCCAACTTTCTTTGAGGAGATCCCACACAAATCCAATTTGGTCTAGTTTCTCCACCTTCCATTCATCTAGTTTATCCTTGTTTCTTGCTTGCCGCTGATCACTAACCCACCTCCCCAACTTCAACTCTCCTTTAATGTGATTCCTGCGTACATCACAGTGACCTTCCCGTTCTACATACTGACACAGCAAATTGTAGTTCCAATCCCAAATCTCTTCATAGTGAGACCACTTGATGCCAGCTTCTGCCATTTGATGAATCCGGTCCATACTCAAGCCGCCAGATTTCTTCAGCTTCCTTTGAAGGGTCAACCATTTCTGTTCTTCTACGGGAAGCATCTGCCCTGGGTGGTCCCTTCTAAAGGCAACAACTCTCTCAAACATGGTGTTCCACTCCAAGGCTTTGGTATGATTCCCTGAGACTTCTATGATCAGTTGTTTCAAGATCTCTTGTTGGGTCTCCCCTCCGATTGATCCTAGACCGTCAAACACGTCTTTGAGTCTTTGGGGGTATTCAGAAGGATCAACCGGCCTCCCTTGTCTTGCTTCCCCAGCAATGTAGACAACACCCTTCCAAAATTCAGGGTCATCCTCAGACAATGCCATTAGTGTTCTTGCAAGCATCTGACTACCACAGGTGTCTTCATTGCCAAAGAGAAAGTCACCCTGGGACTCATCATAGATCACAGGAAGCAATACATATCCGCATTGCTTGTTTGGTGCAGGACGGGTTACCCTTCCAACTGCTTGCAATATCTTCTCTGGGCTCTTTATATGATCAGACAAGAAGACCATGTCCCAGATAGCTTCATTAACTCCCTCTGTCAACAATTCACAGTTTGCTACAACTGACTTGGGAGCTTCCTTGGCTTTTTTCAAAATGCTTTCTTGCATTGTACGTTTCATGTTGCCATTGATGTCAGCTGCAAACACATCCTGATCCAGTACCTCCCCGGCATCTACAATGAACTGCTTTGCCCTAGCATTCCTGCTGTGGAATGAAACTGCATGGGATGCATTGCACTTTTCCATGGCTGCTTTCAGTATGAAGGGGAGCAGTGCTGGAATTGACTCATCTCTCAGCTGGTTGTCGTCATGGAGCAATGAAGGAAACACTGACAATAGTTCCTGTTTGGATACCACAAAGAGTTTCAATGGTACGGTGATGTTCATTTGTTCTGCTTCCCTGCGAGTCTTCTTCTCCACTGTCTGTCCAAACAAGGATTGATTGTTGAAGCTGCGGACTCCTTCTTGGAGTATGACATCCTGATTGGTAGTAATTAGAGTTTGCACGCCATTTCTTTTGTCAATTTTGGAGGCAACCACTGTCTTCTGTGTCACATTGGGCGAGAAATTTCGAGGAGTTGCTGTTTTGAACAGTCTGAAGTCAATGGGTAGTTCATGGTCTTGCAACCCAAAGCCATTGAACTGTGATTTTCCGGCCATGCGATGTGCCTCATCAAAGATACCAAGCCCGATACGGATGGGAATGGTCCTGTTCTTATTGATCAAATTCAGAGCCTCGGCAATTCTCGGAAGAGAATTGGTAGTAGAGACCAGAAAGTGAAGGCTGCTATTGCTGGCTTCGTCATGAGGCTCCAGTAGAAAGGAAGCAATTCGTTCTGGACAGGTTGAATGTGGCACTGGCGTGTCTGTATCACTGGCAACAATCATGCTTTTGTGAGGCACATTTGAAAGCACTTGGGAGCCTTCCAGCATATCAAGAGTTTGGTCTACAAGCTTGAGTTTTGATGTCACATAGATTGCGATTTTTGCTTGTGGGAGTGCTGGGATTGATTGGTTCCTATTATCATTTGCCAACGCCATTTGTTGTAGGACCTGCAGTGCCGAGATTGTCTTGCCGAATCCCATGGTGAGAATAATATTGGCCCGGCGGTGGCCATTGGCATATGCCTGGAGGATCTTTTGGACAGTCTCTGTGTGCCTGCCGTCCAACTCAATGGGAGGATTTTCTGAGTCTGAAGACTGGAAGTTCAGCTTAGTGATGGCACCAATCGATGATCTGGCGAGCTGGGAGGTGGGAGAATCAAAAGGTGGATTGAAATGAGGTGATATCCAGCCTTGATTGCCAACAAGGAAAGAAGTCACCAATGTGGTGTGCAACAGCACTGTCCACAAAAGATTCCACATGATCTTCATCGTGAAGTCGATTTCAAAGGGAAACTGGGTTGTCTGCAAGGAGTTTGTTGGCCACGTTCATTGCGAGTTGATCGGTGTTGGAGGGCTGGGCTACCGTACCTCTGGTTGAATGGCTTGACGGAGAGCTGATGACACTCGGGACTGTGAATATCCGTGACTCCGCTGGATCTTCGCTGAACTGCCTCGTGGCCATGCATTGGAACTTCGAACTTCGAACAAAATGAACCAAAGCTTCCCCAGTTGTATTATTAGCAGAGAGCCAATTCTTGGTAGACTTACTCTGTCATCATATCTTGTAGTGTCGCTACTAGCTAGCACTTCTCCTTAGCTAGTTTCTCCTTGAAGAATTGAACGACTGGCACTCTATTTCGTCTCAATTCCATAGCGCATCAGTTTTATTCAATCAACATCAGCATGATTCAAACACCCACCAATATTTTGATGATCGTCCTCGTGGGTCTGTCGCTGTCAGAGTCGTTCCTTTTGAAGCCAGCATCATTATTTTCCCAAAGCACATTATCTCCTTTCATTGGAGCTTCCTTGGCGGAGGACACTGAGACTTCCCCTGAAGCAAAGAGCAAGAAACCAAAGAAAAAGCTGAGCAAACCAAATAATACCGGTAGTGCAGAACAAGCCTATGATGCTGGTCAAATCACCGTCCTGAGCGGACTGGATCCAGTCAGGAAGCGACCTGGAATGTGAGTAAATTAATCTTCATCGAATGATAGATGAATTAACAAGATCCAAGATTGTGGAGAGCCATGCCTGGAATCGAATCCAATGATTTCCTCCAACTCACCATCCTTCCTTATCTGCACAATTAATTTCTCTTTTGATGTTCTTAGGTACATTGGTTCGACAGGTCCTGATGGATTACATCACTTGGTTTGGGAAGTGGTGGACAATTGTGTGGACGAAGCTCTGGCGGGCCATGCCACATTCATAAAGACAGTCATCAACGAGGATGGATCCTGCACAGTCATGGATGATGGCAGAGGTATACCCACGGATGTCCACCCGACCACGGGAGTTTCTGCTCTGGAAACTGTGCTCACTGTCTTGCATGTAAGTGACTCAACTCGACACCGTGCTTTCTTTCTTGTATCTGCATTATGTTCATTATGTTTTGCTCATCCAATGCTGACTATTTTGCTTGCACGTCAAGGCGGGAGGCAAGTTTGAAAACCAAGGTGGTAGTGGAGGGTACAAGGTTTCAGGTGGTCTCCATGGCGTGGGTATCAGCGTCGTGAATGCCCTTTCATCGTTTGTCGAAGTGGACGTTGCCCGAAATGACAAAAGGCATCACATGCGGTTCGAGGGAGGTTTTCCCACAGGGAGTCTCGACGTTACTGAATTGGAAACCCCGACAATCGACGAGGATATCAATGCCGAGATTGATCGATTGAAAGCACAAGCAAGCAAAGATGTCGGAGACGAACCCAATGACAAGGCACTTGTACAAATAGAAGCGCTAGAGAAGCTGCAAGAGTTTCAGCTGAAACGCAAGACAGGGACTACAGTTACGTTTCTCCCGGACATTAATGTATTTAAGGGCGAAAAGGGCACGCCTGATATTACGTTGGATACATCCCGGCTAAGAGCTCGAATGGACGAGATTGCCTACCTTAACGCAGGATTGCTAATATCCCTACAAGACAAACGACAACCAATGACCAAGTCCAATTCTAAGAGAAACTTCCAGGAAGTCTTCTACCATGCGGGGGGGCTGTCGGAATATGTCCAGTTGCTGTGTAGCACCAAAACACCTCTGTTTCAGAAGAAAGCATCCAAAACCAAAAAGAAGCGTGCGGTTAAAGCTGTTGGTGTGTCGACTGATCCTGTGAGCGGCTTTCTTTCTGATGACGGGTCTACGATTCTTTGCTCGGGCGAGAGCGCACCCACGGACAACGTATCTTCCCCTGTATCTGTGTCGGTGGCGTTACGTTGGTCTTCCGACATGTACACAGAGTCAATCCTTTCCTTTTGCAACAATATTCGGACCCGAGATGGAGGTAGTCATGTGGACGGTCTGAAAACTTCATTGACTCGAACTGTCAACCAAGCAGTCAAGCGATCGGGAAAAGCCAAAGAGGGCAATGTACCAGGGGAATTCATTAGGGAGGGATTGACAGCCATTATTTCAGTTGCGGTCTCAGAGCCCGAGTTTGAAGGACAGACAAAAGGTCGACTTGGCAATCCAGAAGTACGAATTGCGGTGGACTCGTTACTCGCGGGCGAGTTGACCAAGCTGTTTGATTTTCGTCCTGATTTGTTGGACGCAATCTACACAAAAGCTAGCGAAGCTCAAGCTGCGGCGGCCGCGGCCCGAGCTGCCCGTGACTTGGTGCGGCGAAAAACGTTGCTACAATCCACCGTGCTTCCTGGCAAGCTTGCTGACTGCGCATCTAGGGACCCTACCGAGTCGGAAATATTTATTGTGGAGGGAGACTCCGCTGCTGGAAGTGCCAAGCAAGGCAGGGATCGCAGAACTCAGGCAATCCTCCCGCTTCGCGGAAAAATTCTGAACATTGAAAGAGCCGCAACCGAAAGGATTTACCAAAATACAGAATTGCAAGGTCTGATCTCGGCACTTGGCTTGGGAGTCAAGGGAGCTGAATTCAATCCTGCTTCGCTTCGGTATGGGCGAGTTATCGTCATGACGGATGCCGATGTGGATGGAGCGCACATCCGAGTCCTTCTCTTGACTTTCTTCTTTCGTTATCAACGAGAGTTGATTGAGCAGGGTCATGTATATATTGCTCAGCCTCCACTGTACAAAGTATCTGGTGGCTCTGGTCGCTCAAGAAAAGAAGTCTATGCCTTTTCAGAGGTTGAGAAAGAGAAGGCCATCATGCAAATTCTCAAGCTATCGGACAGCAGCGAAATTGCAGAGGCACTTGCCAGCAAGAAAGCAACCATTCAGAGGTTCAAAGGCTTGGGTGAGATGATGCCAGAACAGCTTTGGTCAACTACCATGGACGCCGAGAGACGGACACTGATTCAAGTCACCGTAGCGGATGCTGCTCTTGCGGACCAGACTCTGAGCATTCTCATGGGAGACGCGGTAGCCCCTCGAAGAAACTTTATCAGCTCGCACGCCGAAAACTTGAGCGTCGACGACTTGGACGTTTGATAGCGTAATTCATAACGAAGGCCTCAATACCGGTAGTCAAGCTTGACAGACGTGAAACTCTGAATGGCTCGGATACGTAAGACTAGCACACCCCAGGTGCTCGCTCGACTCCCTTGGTTTCAGTAGCTATTAGTTGTCTCAATCTGCCGCTGCTCGCTCTGACATCCTGTATTAGTAGTCAGTGGTTGTCTCAATCTGCCTCTTGCCCTTGCTTGGTGAACCTTCCTGTCACTTTAGTTGTCCCCAAGAGAGGGTGCTTCTGGGCCATTCAGCAAAGCGCAAACGGATTGCTGTCATCTTGAAGTGGGTATCCGATAACTATGGCTATCGAAACCAGTGCACCAAGATTTTTTTTTGTCACTGAAAAATGGAACTACTACCTACGCTATTTGAATAACGAAACCAACAACTAACTAATATGGAAATAAGGCAAGCCCCTTTTGTTGGCTACCGTACATACCATTCTGCTTTACTCATTCAACTCAACTCGACTCTACTCAAGCAAACTGAGGAGCACGTTGTTCACTGCTGCCAGACACGTGTGTGATTTCCACTTCTCCTTGTGCTTCCGCGGGTGCAACCAGAGGTCCCTTGTGTGCCGGTTTCCCGGAGAATCCTAGCTTGGCAAACAAGGCTTGATCCTCATCAAATTCCGGATTGGAGGTGGTCAAGAGTTTGTCTCCATTAAAGATGGAATTGGCTCCTGCCTGGAACATGAGATATTGTTCGGCATCACTAAAGGACAACCGTCCCGCCGACAATCGGACCATGGTGCGGGGCATGACGATCCTCGCCGTGGCAATCACTCGTGCCATATCAAAGGCATCGACGCGGTCAATATCTCCACTTTCTCCCAGAGGAGTTCCTTCTACCGCCACCAAGGCATTGATGGGCACCGATTCGGGATGTTCCGGTAGAGTGGCCAACACATGGAGCAATCCGACCCTGTCCGACTCTTCTTCTCCCAATCCAAGAATCCCTCCACAGCAGACACTGATCCCAGCATCGCGTACATTGGCAATGGTATCCAATCGATCTTGATAGGATCTTGTGGTGATGACATTGGGATAATGTTCGGGACTGGTGTCTAGGTTGTGATTGTACGCCGAAAGTCCGGCTTCCTTGAGTTGTCGTGCTTGTTCGGCATTCAACATGCCGAGCGTGCAGCAGACTTCGAGGCCCATGCCGTTGACACCTCGTACCATTTCGAGAATATGATTAAAGGCATTCTTCTTGTTTCCCAGTTCACGCCAGGCAGCACCCATACAGAATCGAGTGGATCCGGCCTCTTTGGCACGAGCGGCCGCTTCCAGTACTTCTTGGACTTTCATGGTAGGAGTCGGTTTGACAAACGTCTTGTGACGTGTCGATTGCGAACAGTAAGAGCAATCCTCGGTACATCCGCCCGTCTTGATGGAGAGCAGAGTGCACTGTTGGACTTCGGACGGATCCCAGTACATGCGATGAACCGTGGCCGATCGGTACATGAGTTCGTGAAAGGGAAGCGAAAAGATCTCGGCAATCTCTTCCTTCGTCCAATCATGACGGACCGATGCCGTCACACCTGCCATGGAACGTTCTTCTTCGGCTTCGTAGAGATCGTTGCGATCGTGCACGTCGTTGGGCAAACGCTGCTGCTGCTGTTGAGTAGTAGTAGGAGTAGGCTGGGCAATGTATTTGTCCAAGACGACTCCTTGAGACGAAGCTTGAGGCGCCATGGACAAGGTCCGAGTGGCTAGTTTGTTATTGTTTCTACCATTGTTGAGAACTCCTCGGAGGACCAATCTGGAACAGGTGGATCGGGCAAACATTTTGATTTTGATTGATGGAATATCTTGACAAGGAAACTAACAAACTATGAGAGGCCCGTTGGCGTGGCTTGGCTGGTTATGATGCCGATGAGACTAACGAAAGATTGATGGATCCAAATCCAACAGCAACAGTTACTGTGATCGTTCGAGAGGTCGCACTACAAAGGCCACCGCTTCAAATTGTTTTGTTGGATGTGTGGATCCAAAAATGACGTTATTGAGTTGACAGCTCTCTCCGTGGATCGGAAGCTCCATTGACAAAGATCTTGGGTATCCTCCTGAGGGTTAAGGATAAATATTACGTCTCCTGAGACGACGCACCTTTTGGTTACCCCCTCAGTTGCACTCCGAAATCGATTCGCCCGCGTTTACTGTGTAAAATAGAGTAGCGGCACTTCAGTTGCAGAATCAACGGTCATGTGTATCCTTAAGTAACAGGTTCTCTTTCGAAAGATTTAGATCCATTCGTGGAATAAAAGAACCGTTGAAGTTGCTAAGGTTAAGGATAAACTGATGGCACCGAGCGAAAGTCCATCATTGAAGGCGCAGCACGGACTTCTCTCCCTCATTGAATTCGTATGGTTTTCAGGAGGTAAATCCAAGCTTGGCCGACAACAATGGTGAGTGCTTTATCCAATCAGCCGTAGTTGAATCGATCGACGATCGAATCGATCGCAATGAGGTAAGCCTATTATCAAGAGTGTTAATTGAAGGTACAGCACTGACTTCTCTCCCTCATTGTATTCCTATGGTATTCAGGAGAGAATTCTAAGCTCGGCCGTCAACAGGTGAGTTGTTCTTTAATTATTCGAATCGATCGGTCGGTCGCACCTCTATTATCTCTATTGTCAAGTCTCACTCAAGCCGGCTGTCTCCGGTGCAGATTCGAAAGCCATCCCTCACTGAATCCTATGGACCATGGGATGGCAGTCAGTTCTCGGCCCATGACAGTCAAGTTGGAGAAAATTGAAAACAATGGTAAGTCTCCAGTCGTCTGCAGTTGAGCACAGAAAACAAACCTCGTATCTATTTGTTGTTTTCTCTGCTGCACTGCCGACGGCCGAGGAAATCCCATTGTCGAGGTCGAACGAACGAACGAACGAACGAACGGTCGCTCCGGATAACAACAAGAGAGGAGGCTACAGGTACTACGGAGGAGGCTCTGTTAACTCCAGCCCTACCAACAGCCTGAACAGAGGAGCCTATCGTCGTCGAGTCATTGAAAGGGAACAGGAACGAGGCTAGCTACTCGACAACACACAAGAGAGTGGATCCTCCTACCGGATTCATCCCTTCTTGTTATTTCCTACTGTTTTGGTGGTGATTCCTGTGTTGGTACCCATTTTCCTGTATGCGCAAGTCAAGTACTGTTGCCACTAGCTATACGGCAGCTGGCTACAATGGCTGGATTGACAATATTCGGTTGTGCTTGTATTCGTCATAAGGATCCAATGCGAGGTAACCGACTGCAGCGAGCAAAGTCGAACCTGAGTGAAGCATTCCTCCAACTATAAGTATGCAATCTTGTTTCAGTGTCTCCGAATGACTCCTTTCGACACTGTTCTTTGGCCGGCATGCTTTCGAATTGGAATCGGGAGTTTAACCCTCTCCCTTTTTTTCTTTCTTTTCTTTTTCCTCCCCCGCGCTGCTGCCTAACCCCCCCATAAAGTCATTGTAGCCAGCTACAGTACCGTAGGCAGAGAGTTACATCGATCCGTGACAGTGCAACAGTACCGAACACACTCAGGTTCCTTTACTGGCTACACTCCGTTACCGGTACTTTGCATTGGATCCTTATGACGAATACATGCACAGCCGAGCATTGTCAATCCAGCCATCGTAGCCAGCTATCGTAGAGTTACATCAATTGGTGACAGTGCAACAGTACCGAACACATT